AAACACAAAAGCGCACAAATCCACATTCAAACTCCTAGTTGACATCGATGGGACGTATACCAGCGCTGACTTTAATCCGCGTCACCTCTGCCAAATTCTAGCATCGGTAATACTATTAATACTAAACCATCCAGTTTCATCGCCATCCGGTGGCAGTAGAACATTTAGTAGCAGTATTAGTATCGGCCTTCTTAAGGCTACGGGTGCGTAGGTCTAGGTATTGCCGTAACACCTGCACAAAGTTCTCCTCTCAATCAACTCCGAATCACGCGGTATTCTGGCATGCATTAGAGAGACTGGCCTACGCTGGATACTGTTCGGTAATGTCGGCTCTATCTTGTCACCGGCTCAGGCAGGTAACGTCTACGTTCACCTAAAACGAACTTCTTCGTCTAATCACATGATGGACATCAGCGAAATCAATGGACGTACTATGGTCATCATCAGCAGGCTGTTCTATTTGTATATGCCAGTGGATGCATGTAACAGCTTAGCTAGTGAAAATACGTTTAGCTAAACGGTATCTTGTCGGTAGACAGTGATAGAGGTGGTCTGTTGTCATTGACCGATTACATATTGTAATTGCACACCGTTTTAACTCCTCTATAACAGCCATACGCAGTCCCCTGTTAGACACACGGATATGGCTCACAGTATACCTTGCAACCACAAGCACCCCACCTCACCGCTCTCAACACGTTGACTCCGCCATACAGGCGGCATTGATTCTAAGTGTTAGACTAACCCTAAACCATATAAACATTGTTCATAACCCCTGTCAATATATTGGTCTGACAATGAATGACCAAATATATGGTTTTGCCAGTCTAACTTTCCCATCGTGACACGACAATTTTCGCAAAAAATGAGTTTTGACCCTTGACAATGTTGGGACGGATACACTGGTCGAATTATGTTGCCTTTATTCCCATGAAAACAAAATGGTTTTGCAAGCAAAGGAATATACACAAAAAACGGCCGCTAGACCCCTCAAACGTACTACACATATTTGTGTATTCCTGGGCCTGTCGCACATTTGAGCTCCCTGTAATGCAAAAGTAAAATTGAGGATGTTATGCCACAAAACTAAGTCATACTTTGGGTAAATTTGAGAGATCCAATGTCAAGTATTACTAAAAATAAATATAAATATATGCAGAAATCAACTACGCTGAGAAAGTCACATATACGCCCCCGAATTTGCAAACCCAAAGTCCTTAAAACGCCATCTCCGTTGCACAAAACTGAAGATTATACTCCGTCAGCCTAGGTATACGTCTCAGTATGAATTGCCAAAAAACATACATTTGTAAATTAAGCACTGCAATCATAACATGACAGTTTTCCGAGAAATCTGATTTTGTGTTGAGACCAAAAGCGTACGCTGAAAAACCGAGCACTCGGACAACTTCATATCCAACGTATCGAAACCGCAGCAGCCTGCGTTTGTCCCGCCACCTATCATTCCTTTATTCTAAGGTTCAGATTGAGGTTGATTAGCCACATATTTGATTCATGTCATAGGTAACTTTCGAAGCGTATAAGTTCGAAAATAAAAAGATAAAGATACCGGATTATTTAAATTAAAAGAGATTTGATTTTTGGAAAAAGAGCAGGCAAAATGTAGGTGTACTTGAAAGCCTTAGTCATGCCCTGTTCGGTAAAAATGCTTCCGTGAACTTTGGTTCATCCACGGAACAAGTTACACCTCACGTTACAAAGCGGTCCATAAAACTTTTTGTCTGCGACGAACATTGCATATGAGACGCATGCATATTGTTCTCATCACTTATGTATATTTGCGTGACAAATCACGTAAAACCAGTGTCCTATCTACATTTACGTAAACGCAAAGTAAATACATCTCTACTAGTAGATGTAGATTTTACATTTCCTTATTGATTATTTATCTAAATGTTTGCACTGACTGATAACCGCGAAATCTTCAGCGAACTTCTAACAGGTAGCCGATACTATAAACAGGGGTGACATGATACACCCTAGTGTTAAAGTATATAGATGCTAAAAGGTCAGGCATCCTTTTGCCGAAATTCTACTCATGCAGCTCATGCACATATGTGGACAGTGAGCAAGTAACAACGACGGTAGTTCCGTAGGATCTTCCCACATATTACTCCTCTGCAACAAGTGTGATCCAACCACAAAACTGGCAAGGAATACTGCAGCACAGAAGGCTACAGACTGAAGCTTATATCAGCCCACGCCATCAGCCCAGTCAGTTTGTCGTTTTTTTGGCTAATCGATAGATGTTTGTATAAATCGTGGAATATTTCATAGGGACAAATTTGCGCTTTGGGTTCGCCGAACCTCTCGGTCCACAATCCTATGCGAAACAGCGAACGTCAGTGGACACAGGTGGTGCCTACATCATCGAAATTAATCATAATCCCAATTCCGGCGTGACTTTTCACACTTGATTTAAAACTTGGGCCAAATCGGATGAAACATGGACGATGCATTTCTTGTTACGTAAATTGGACACTTAAGAGCACGAGCGGTTAATGCAAATGCTTTTACCGAAAATACAAAGTGAGTGAACATTCGACGAAACCGTTTAAGGTATCAGAAAAGTTCAGCAAGAAGTCTTCGTTGTCTGTTTTTTGGAGGACAGACGATTTTCTGACGCTCGGCAGAATCGTCAATCATGAGTGTGAACAGTTAAACCTGATGACCATGACAGTACAGTAACTCAAGGGTTTATCTTTTGTTTGTGTCATTCAATCGCCTCGCGATCCTATATTCAGAACCTGCATGCTCAGCAAAATTAAATGAATCATGAATTCAACCTAAGAACATACACAGCCGAGTGTCAACCACTTATCAACCGTAAACACTCATCATTTGAACTATTACTGGGCACATTAGATTTGCCACAACAACGGCTCTAACTCCCAGGTCCACTTTCCAGCAAAGCCCCTGAAGTACTTAGGCGATTGGGCCACGGAAGAACGCAAACAGGTCATTTGCGGATAAACTCGCGGCTTATTTTTTATAATCTGGCTCAAAGGAAGAAAGTGTTGGGAGCAGCTTTAACCGACGTCATCGCACAGTGCACCATCGCGCTGCCAATAGACCACGTGTGTGATGATATCGCGCAAGCTGCCGACAGAACTGGTGTTGTACCGAGCCAGTGGGATGAGTTAGAAATCGAATCGTAAGGGGCTTACCTGAATCGAGGGCGTCCGACGAAATTAGTTAACATTGGCAAGTAATAGTTATACTTAAGCATGTCTACAGTAGGTCACATATCTGAGGAAAGGTTGGGAGATTTAACACAAACTTGAAATCGTTTAGTTAGTTCATTGGTTTGGCTTGAGGCGCAAAATGCTGTTTAATAGAATTGAATTCCATTCAAGTCAGTATAGTTGGAGAAAATATAGGCGAAAACGGGCGAAATCTAACCTTTCTTGACTTGCAACGAATTTCCTATGCTTGTAAGCGCTGAGGAGAAGATATTCATATTTGAGCGTGCTGAAGTGTAAAGGTACATTCATAAAGAGCAAGAACTCTTTAATTGTATGTCTTCACAACAGAGAAGATTTTGTTTTGCGTCCATGAAATTGAGGTTAGTGTACTTAAGAGACACAGAACTAGAGTCGGGAAAAAATTGATGAATTAGGTAAACAAATGTTTGCTCTATAAATATGTTACTTTTTGTGCCCCAAAAGATAAGCAATAAACTCACAAGAGGCAAAATGCATTTTACTACGCCGAAATTAGTAGGCCTATTTGACTTTAGATGGATTTCCTCGAAATCTTATATGTTTTCTTATTAACCTTGTAAACCAACTTCATCCAAACGTTGCCAAAATACAGACAAAAATCAAAAGATATAAAAACTTCAAAAAGAAAAGGCTTAAGATTATCATGTTTGAGAATATTGGAGGATATTTTGAATTAGTCTGTTGTGCAATTAAAATCAAAGAGCGGTGCTCTGAAGTAAAATAACATATTGAAAACTGCTCTGGTTTATGTAGAACTGTGGAAATTCATTTTTCTCGGCAATGAGTTGACATGCTTGGGCGATTCTCAAGTCACGACCCACACAGGCAGCTATTTAAGGAGGAATGTTTAAGTACTCATTATTTAGGTAGACGCTTTTAAGATATTTCTTATTTCTAATTTTTCGGTAAATAGGTTCAACAAGATCGGTATTTATGGACAAACCAAGCAAAACTGTGAAATTCGTAAAGTATTGAAAATAATTTTGAAAACAGTTTGCTCCTCATCGCACTCGAACTGTCGAAATAATTTTTTTAAATGTAACAAACGGAAGTTTCTTTCGACATACACAAGATGGTATGAATTTGATTACAAATACAACCGTTATCTAACTTTTTAGCAAACAGCCAACCTGTCCATGTGTGGCAGTCAATGTATTTTTATTCCGCTCAATAGCCGGGACGTGATTTCTATAGAAAATCTTTTTGCAATGGTCAATAGAAATTGATACAAAGCACGCAAGAATCTTTTCGTGCATAAAAAACGGGAATTTGTCCTAGGTATCTAAATTTGGAAGAAACTGTTCATTAGGTGACTACATCCATTGCTGACACATTTAGTGGAAAAAAATAGTGCATAAAAATTTTGTTTTCGTACTTATTGTGTATTAGCTCACCGTCCTTGTCCATCCTTATGCCTTAACCACACTTTTGTTTCACATTGGACCAGAGAAATTTCATATTGCCATTTTTTGAGTTTGCAGATTTTTGTGAAACTTACATGTTTCTCTGATAGTAAATAGTAATTTCTCAAACAAACTCTAACATGTTTTACCTACAGTTTTAGCTATACTGTTAAGATAATTTGTGGCACGCTACGTGTACTGACATGCCGCAAAATAACTTCCATTACGTTTTACAACTTTATTCACGAGATACTACACTTACTATAGGCACAGTAGGAAAAAGTGAACGCAAAAAAATCTGCAAATAGTAGTCATTCGACTGTGAGCATTATCATAAACCGCGCGTCGATTTATTAAACAACCTAGTGAGAAATTTGTCTTCGATTTTGTCGCTTGGCAGACATGAGCATAAGCCTTTTCTCCAAACTGCATGTGAATAAAAATCAGGAGAATGTCTAAAAAGCACATAACTAAACGAATAAGCGTTAGATATCAGCATTTAAGGGATTGAATAGAACTTGTTGGAACTATACAGTAATCAGATAGGATCTGCCTAATTTATAACCAGCAATGCATGCAATATTACCAGCAAAACTGTCGTCCCATGCTTTGTGTTGTTAAACAATGTTTTTGTTGTCTAACTGACTATACCCTGAAAAGTTGCCGCTATCATACAGACGTTTTTTCCTTTAATGATGCACACAGAATAAAATTCAAAATCATTAGAAACACCAAAGTTGAGGATCTTGCAACGTGACTTGTAACGCTTAGGACTCACTGCGTCTTCTAACCATCGAACGCTGCTTAAAATGAGAATATTCTGCAGAGAAAAAAAATATAAAATAAAAATAAAAAATAGTAATCAATTAAGTAGTAGCATTTAGGTAAATTGAAGAATATTTACATGAGAGACGTTGATACGGTAGAAAAGAGCCTACAGTAGGTTACCTAACTTATGAAATCTAAGGATCATGTGCGGGCATGCTGGCCAGTGTATAGTAAATGTAAATGGATTTGTCACGCGCTATTGTTAACGTACCATTTTAGTACACTAAAATTAATGTCCTTCCGCCACACTCTTTTGCAATTATTTTGGGATTTATATTGCGAACGGGGTTCAAATCTTCCTAGAAGGGCCAATTAGGACTTAACGTTATAACTGTCTTTCATTAATTGACGATAGGTAATAATTTTATTCTACGTGCTGACTAAAAGCTTCAAAATAAGATATATCTTAAAGCATTTAACTGGATAACGAGCTGTTTAACATGTTTCTCATAGAGCTGTCTGTGTGTGTCATGGGTTCAGAACAACAAGTCACATATCAAGTAATTGCTGACATAAATGGACGTCCACTACAAAAGTTGTGAAGTAATATGCCTCAGAATGTATACAAAATTTTAATAGCAAGTTAACTCTTCTTCTTCCTTTTCGGGAGTTGATGCACACGAGCTTTATTTTAATATTTTGTCGTCGGATGACTTTATTGTTTTGAATACTAAGACAGGATCTGAGGGAGACATTTTAGTATTTTTTTCTATTTCTCTAAACTTTAGGTATATATATACTGCTCTCAATGAAAAAGCTTAGGTTTCAATTAAAACCGGAACAGTTTTCAGTACATTTGGATATAAAGGTAAAATGTAAAAATATAACTTAAGGAAATTTCTCAAAATATCTTAAGTTTGCGTCACGGTTAAACCATGAAGCAGATAGGCATAAACACGCGCAGATATGGTTTTGCCAAGTACTTTCTATAGAATGCGAACAAGCTTTGAACACTATCTAAAATGGAACTCACTGGCAAGCCTTGGAACATTTTTCACGACCGTGATCCCACCTTCGCAATCTGTTAATATAGATAAAGAATCTAATGACAAATACCCCTTATCTTTAAGGTATTTTCTTGTACAAGATTCTTTTAAAATTGAAGTTAGAGGCAGTATCGTATAAGTGCGAGGTCTAAAATTGCAAATGACAGTCAACCAACGGTATTACAGAGGACATATTTTCAATGCGCGAGTTCTCGACATTTGTACAATAGCGTGTGATGTATAAAGTACAGTCAGTGAATTAAAGAAGCGGTTATAAACTTGTATTAAAATCGCACATAACTATACCGCAAGCCATACAGGACAATCCGAAAATGGCCACATGATCATTTAATCGGCCACGCTAATACGCTTGTTGGTAGTATTTTGGTGCGGAGAATAAAAGACACCTGAAACCGACATGACACTCTGCTACGGCATAAGAGGTGGTTGGGAAGCGCACATGTTAGGACCATCGAAATAAAAACAACAGCCAAATGGCCCATTTCGTATCAGTTGAGAACATTCCAATAAGTCTCATTCTACAATATACGATAAGGAGATTAAGGAGTCAAAACCACTGCTGGTCAGCAATAAGGTTACATTCATAGGCAATAAAAGATTCAAAGCCAGCCAGCTGTCAGCAAGCATGCGGAATATCTGCAGCCCAATATGTCCTTACTCGTTGCGTCACAAATGCCTTCAATCTGAGCAAAGGACCTCGCGCGAAGGCAGTTTACGGTGTGCCTCGGGCCAGACACGAACTGACGCGGGACCCTTCAACAGTGGCTTGACAGCAATCCGTTTAATGAGATTGCCGTGCTAGTAGACTTGCGTCAGTTATAAGGTTGGCAAAATGCGTCTGCATACAGACCACACTATGGCGTCTGCCCCTAGGCATCATCTCGGAGGCGAACCGATCAGAAATATCCTATCTATTCTTCCAATCCTCTTGTGCAGCATACAGAGTTCCTACCACTTTTGCCCTCCCATGAGTGCTCTCATCTCCTTAGGAACCGGGCCTGGAAGACTGCAGTCGTAGTAATTAACCTCCTTACCCGGAATGCAAGTCAATAGGTCTTTTATATCACTAATACGCTAATATGTCCTTAAACTATCTAGTTCAACTAAGCTGACGAAATTATAATTATCTAAACTGACAGAGATCCAGTAACCACTTTTTAGGGTGGTTGTGCCTCTCCCTTAAATATTCTTACGCGCTTTTTTATGAACTCTACTTTAATCATCAAGATCAAGGTCCCTACGAATATTATGTTAACGCACAATCAACCATTTTAAAGAAAGTAGGGCAACTGTCGTACCATTTTTACTTATTAGCCGTTGCTAGACATTCAGCGCTCAATACATGAAAATGAATGGCTGTCGATGGCCAATAACCAAGATAACGTCTTTCCGGTGTCGGTGAAGCTCCAAGGTACAATTGGACGAGCATGTTCCCTAACCAGATCGGTAAGTGCCCTACTATTATACATTACAGCATCTCATTTTGACCATATGGCGGACAGCATATGCGCCTGCTGAAATCACAGCAGACTAAAAAAATCACATTTACTGCGTGATGGCTACTTAATTTTCGGTTTCAAAAATGTGTGCAAATGTTTGCGTTGCACATTTGCATGCGTTTATAGACAGCTCATAGATTAACGGACATATAGTCTCTACCAGGCAATTCATTGATACAGTAAGCATAACCTGAACTGGAGACTTATAGTATTTCCGTAACAATTCACGATTTCTGCATTGCTCGTTTAAATTTCAAAGCATGCGCAATAAACTCTGATGGTTGAGTCTTCCTAATAGCTAGAATAGGGCTTTACGTTCTGGTTACAAATTGTAAAACTGCATGGTTACTATGCGAACGGAACATTCCTTCGCCACATAGCCCAACTGCACGAACCTCCTTATAAATCCAATTAGATTGTGGTGAAAATATAGTTGTTAACTTAGCAAACACTGACTATGGAAGGCATCATTACCTCGCATACTTTGTCCGGATTTGACTGTATTCTGATGAATTTTCTCTCTGTTACGTAATTTTTCATGGTATTTCTGGGTACATTTATATGTTTTTTTTTTCAAATTTTCGCAAACTGTTATCATTGAAAATTACCCAGACTTTAAAAAAGGCGTTCGGTCAATCATTACAAGCTACATTAAACAGTATTAAAATGAAGCTTCTTGCGCAAAAGTGGCTAAATGTGAGAGGTCTAATTGGTTGCCTATTGTCCATAAGTTTGACTTTATAACTTGGCATATCGATTTGGATGTGAACTACAAATTCCCCACGATCAGGCGGAAGCCAGAACAGCCACTAACTGCCGCATGCGGGTGACAAATATTCACTCACGCACCACAATATTACATGCAGATGACAGTTTCTTTCCCCAGTGACCGCATAATTAAACAAGCGTGACTGTTACATTCCTACACGCTGACCCACCGTAGTCTTGCCTTAGCCATAGTTTTCAGTTAACTGTCTTTGCAACGCCGTCGTTTGTCTCAAGAAGAGTTGCGGAACCACACTGAACAGTTCACTCAATAGGCAGCATTCTTATCCAAAGAACTTCACCGTTTAAAAAATATTTTGCTTGAAATGCCAATATTTCTTATAGGAAACGGAACTCACCTAACTTTTCTGGATTCACACCAACAAATGCGGTAAATTTTGAGATCACGTTTGCGCCGGTTGACAGTGTGACAATCTGTTTCTGGACACGCGTTGCCTCCTTCTGATCATTCTGTTCGTTGACAAACGACGCATGCTTGTCGGACAGCTCGGAAATCTGCATTTTTGCTGCCTGTCTATGAAAGGGGAGGCTCAACGCACCGGACTCCTCATGTTGCGACACCACGGCCTCAGCAACATTCGCCGAGTTAGTGTACTTTTGACCATTTACACTGTATTTCAGGGTAACGGTGCCAGCCAGCTTTAGTTTCTTTGCTGTAATTGCAAGGAATTATAAAAATGGGGTACCAAGTGGCTGGTCAAGAAAAAAATGTCTTCTCCTCAACGAGCAACGAAGGTGCGCGAAGAAATATACACTTGTGTTTGTGTGCAAATCAGAATACACCCAAAAATTGTTTACTAAAAAAACGTTGCAGAAAATGCAGTAGTACGTATTACTGTATCTTCTCTCGTCGCACTATCACCTGTCTTAACCCGTGTCCTTGCAAACTTATCCTCTCAGATTTCTCTACAGTCTATTTGAGAACGAAATTGGATCAAATAAGCTGCTAAAACGACGGTGCTTTGCGAAAGTCTTAGGCATTTCTTCGAGAGGTAACTCTCACACACGAAGGCGTAGGACAAAAACTACAAAAGCTGAGTTACTCTACCAACACTATACCTTATTACTTTTATAGCAATATATGCGTAAATTTATACTAAATCATAGTTTGCTCTATCTCTGTTGTTTATATGCCTATTTATATCTACCCTGCAATAGTTATTTATAGTATAGCCATTTCTACATTAGAGCATGCGGCTTGAATATTAGAACAAAAGACAAATAGTAGAACATTATAGGTCATGCTTTATTTTTGTTGCCTTCTCTGCACCTATCAACCAGAAAGTAGTTTCTTACTATAAGCCTATGGGAAACTCAAAAGTTTACGACCCAAATTCTCCGCGTTATATGAAAGGTGTAACCGGAGCATACACTGATTCGCTGACCCTATACTTGTGAGACGACTGTCTTAACCCTTCGGCAACCAGGACCACATAGCAGAACTCACCGATAGGTAAGAGCATTAATATGGATGACGTACATTGCCCGGTGGCATTCAAGCATAACAAAGACTTCCGCTTAAAAGCATCAGAGCGGAAGTCACACATGGATGTTATCACAGATTCTATCAAACATGACACATTAAAGACAATGGGTGAAACGAGTCGCAATCAGCAGCTCAAATCCACAATGACGGACCTAACTTGCAGGCACCAGATAATTCGTCCAAGCACGGCTTGCATACTAGAACCCACCATTGGAAGTTCGATTGTACAGTTAAGTTTGTAAGTGAAAAATGTGCATGACTTGTGTGAGTGCAAAGTGAATATTTTTGTAAGGACCAGAAAAAGGGAGACGCCTGACTATGAACAATATAATTCAGAAGTAGAATATGTGATCATTAGGACAAGCAGTCTAGTTACCCAACGTTTCGCGTTCCGCCTTCATTCCTCCAAACAGAGAAAACAGCAAAATATTGGATGCATGCACACATTTCGCAATATTTATAATTCGTGCCGGCCAAGCGGCCACATGCGTACTATAATTATCAGCCCTGAGAATTAAAATCGATCAGGCGATATATTGGCACTCAGCCCCCGATTCATTAACAGCCGCAATTTCGTCCTGTGTGTTCGATGCGGGCTTGACAATTACGCGAAGTTACCGGAGTTGTCGTTGTCCCGGCCCTTCCAACGTCAATGATGGTTTTGTTCAGACAAAACTTCTGCATGGAATATAGGAAGACAAAGTCATGACGCTTGTGGATGACTGTGGGCCTAAGAAACATGACTCCCACAGCTCACGGATCACGCAGTTGTCTCCTCCTCCGAGGAATTCTGCTGCCTAAAACCTGTAATTACGGCCGAGGTTGGATGAGTAAACTGTAAAGTATGCATACAGCAACCTCTTATGTGGTTATCTGTAATGCACAGTTGAGGACAAATCAAAACAGCAGGCAACTTAACTTATTTCTCCAGCGGTCGCATCCCCAACTTCTGAGCTGCTGCCTGGGATTTGCGTCTTCGGTTCTACCAACAATTAACTTGTTTTAGATACTCATCTGCCCAATTGGCAAGTGTACTTTACTCAAATTTCATTTTGACAACAGTCATCATTAGTCCACTTTACAAACCTCTGCCCTTTAAGGGCAGGCAGAATATCGCAAACGACTGCATTTTGACGATCATTGAGGACTTG